TTTACAGTACCCAGATCCAAATCAGTGATTTACATTTCTAGGGCTAATGACACTGGCCCAAGGACCATGCTTAAAAGAAACACTATTCTCTGCTCAGAAGTTCCCATATGAAGAAAACCTTCCCTGAACTTTCCTATATAAAATAACCTGACTACAACACTTCATGTCCTTCTTACCCTGCTTTATTTTCCTCCATAACACGTACCATCTGAAAAATATGGATGCAGTGTTTCTTTGTTTACTGTTTGTCTCCCCCTCTGGATTGCAGACACCATAACAGCAGGGATTTAGTTTCACCTGTGGTTGTATGATACAGCCTCTAGCTCCCATGTCTAACACAATACCTAACACAGAGTGATGATTAATACATATTTGTGGACTGAATAGTCAAAATGTTGCACAGCCAGTTTTCTGTGATTGAAGCTTCTGGAGGAATCGCTCACAAGAATAACTCACTTTTGCTGACCATTCAGTCCAACTAAGCTGTTCTTTCATTCTTACATTACATCTCTTCCTTCCTGGGTTACCTTTTGTGTCATTGTCATCCCTGCCACCACTCCTGACAGAAAGCACTGGTGATGCCTGGAGAAACATACTGGCTTCTGGAAGGGAAACTGTGAGTAAATCTATATTTCAGGAAACCAGAGGGAGAAGGAAGATCCTAAGTGGAGCCAGTCTAACACTTTTAAGTCCATTGTCCTGAGAGCAATTATTTCACAGTTCTTTACTTGAGTACCTGCTTGTGTAAGGGCTACAGAGAAGAATAAAACAGAGTTCCATTAGCAGTCTGATGGCAGAACCAAATGAACTGAGTCAAATATGGCAAATCACCATTAGCAAAGAGGAGGGAGTAAAAACTTCAGCCTGAAATTGCTGAGAGGGGAAAATTGGTGCTGGGGCAGCAGGGGTGGGGGGTTTCTTCACCAAGACGATGGTGTTTGAGCTGGGTTTTGAAGAATGCATAGAAGTTTGGTTTGTGATAAATGGGAAAACAGGGTAGGGAAGGCATTTTGAACAAAGAACCAGCATCAGCAAATGGATAGATGTGATACTGGTGCTATTAAAAATATTAAACAACCAATTATATGCAGACATCAACAAATCCAAATGGATGTCCCAACCGAGCTGACTGGATAGACAAACTGGCATGGATATATTCATTGCATAGCACTTGACTCAGCTCCAGAGAGAGGCCAGGGTGTTACAGGAATGCCGAAGAGTGTGACATAGCTAATATTAGTGTAATAATAATAATAGCTGACACCGAGTGCTTACAGTGAGCCAGGCACTGTGCTTTGAATGCTTTATCTTATTGAATCATTCAGTCAACTCTTAGACAGTAGATATTGTCACCATTTCCATTTGCCATTTTAAGTAACTTGTCTAAGATCAATCCCAACTAGGCTGGGATATAAACCTGTACACATTGACTCCAGAACTTATAAACTTATCTAAAGTATACTGCCTCAGGTAATGGCTAGAACATGGGTCGCCCCTCTAACACTGTGGGAATATATAAAGAAGTAAAATAGGTTGGCCTTTCCCTTATCGATGTTATTGTTTGGTTGAGGAAACAAGACTCTCAACCATGCAACCTAGGAAACATTGCAAGGATGGTCCCACAGCAACAGGTGACACTTGCCCAATGGGTGGGGGCATGTAGTGCCTGCTGTGTCTTTTTACTGAGCTGGAGTGCTCATGGAAGAAATGGACTTGAACTTGGCCTTGAGAGGTATGGAACAGTGGGACATATATGGAATTAGGATCAGAAGTGTGATGGTTCATTCACTAACAGTGTGACCTGGACCAAAGTTATTTCTTTCAGTGTTATTAGCTGGAAAATGAGTGATGTGTATTAGGTTACTAGTTCTTACCAGAAGTGCCTTACCCTGTGGAGGTATTTTGGAAATTGTGAGGGCAGTTTGTGTTGTTAAAATGATTGGTGGATGGCTCTTCGGTAGGAGCCAGGAGTGATAGGCGTTCTGCACAGTATGAAAAGTTGTCTTGTATTTTGCCCTACATTTAGAGGACCTCTGGACATTCGTGGAAGTGAAAACCCTGTTTATAAATTCCTGAGCCCAAAACATAACCACATTTTACATATTGAGATGAATTTTTTCATGGTTTTATTTTTATTTTATTGATTAAAACTACACCATAAACAAAAGAAATATTGAATTTTTTTCAGAACTTTACCATGAGTTATTACTGTGTTCATGGTACTTGAGTCACCAGTACCACACCCTAATGTCACTCTGCTTCAGAAGGTCCCATTCATAGTGATCCTGTACCGAGCTGCTATCCTCTGATAACTTTGTCACATCTTCTAACATAGCAATGTATGACCATTTGCATATTGGCATACATATTGTTTCGTTATAAATGACTTTAATTTTTTGCTTTGCTGTAGAATTATGGCATAATCTGTGCTTTTTTAAATACTGTTTACATCTTTATTATTATAACTCATTCCGATGAATTTTCTTCAAGGATATCAAGAAAGAACAATAAATACTTAGAATAAAAAATGGTGTGCCAATCTGATAGATTTAAGAATGACTGTATTGGATGATCTCTCAGGGCCTTTCCAGTTCTGATTTTCTGTGGCTGTAGGGAGGGATTGGGTTTTGAGAGGAAGCAGAGACCATTCCAGGATGGGAATGACACCAGTGATGTGGCCTGGTTGAGCAGGGGTTGGAGTATCCCCAGACAAGCCAAGATAGGAAATAAACTTCCTCAGAGCCTGGTCTTGTCATATTCCCTGGAAGCCACTCCTTTCATTCCTCCTCCATCCCCTCACCTCCCTGTAACTGAAGACTCCTGGGGAAACTGCCAGGGCCAGAATTACAGGAAATTGCCTTGTGGCCAGTGGGGCTTCTCTGGTTACTTTCTTCAGTGACAGAGGGTAATGATGGCTTCCTGCCTGTTAGCTGGGTGTCTTTGCCTCCTTGTTCTGCCAAGTTCACAAGAAACCTTAGCTTCTTTTCCTTACAGTTTTGTTCAGCTCCTGTGAATGGGATTTCATCCCCTATCTTATCAAGCTGCCTTGCTCCATACTAGTGATCTGGAAACTTTTGGTCCATGATAGACAAATTTTATGGGACACCCAACAGGCATTGTTTGGAAGTAGGCCATAGCTCCAGACGGATACCACTTCAGCTCTGGCAATGCCTGTTGTGACTTTTATCATTTAGTAACATAACTGTTTTTCTTCTTACTAATTATATATGATCACTGAAGACTGCTTGAAAAATACAGAAATATATGTGGAAGCAAATACAGATTATCTGTTACCCAAAAGAAATATAGTACTCAGCATTAGACAGAGGTGACAGCATAGGTGAAGGTGAAGTTCAGTGCTGGTCTGTCTCTGTTCTTTACACTATGCCAGCCCACCTTCCCCCCCCCCGCCCTGCTTCCTTCTCCCACAGAACCTCTTGATCTCACCCTAATGAATACTTGCCTGTCCTATATACCATAAAACGGAGGGCAAACTGGAAAGTGTACAATAGCACTTACCACGTCAAAGGCATATAAGAGAGATAAAATATCTCATATCAAGAAGGTGTTTGGAATCTAAAATAGCAATGTTTTGTCATAGCTCTGCCATCACTACCTTATTACTGAGGTGTTGTGGTGATAAAGTGTTATGAGAATGTCTAAAGAGATAAGAGACCACCTGAGAAATTCACAGTGCTCCCTGGAAATTGGGGAAAGACTCACAATACAAAGAGGCAAGAATGATTAAGTATGAGGCAGGCTCATAAATATGCCTTTCTCTTTTGGAAAAAAAAAACAAAACAGCCAATATTAAACAAAAAAGTTGGATGATACTAAATCCATCCCAGAGATAAAGTTCTTGTTACAGATAATGGTTAGAATTAATGTTTTGCTTTTTTTCCCCCAAGGTGGATAGAGTCAGAATGGCAGTTTCCTTATTTTTTGAGCCCTTGCATTGAGGCTCTGGTAGACAGAGGACTTAGAAAACTCTAAGACATAAGGGTTAAGGTCAGGGCTTTGGCACTAGTGAGACCTGGGTTCAAATCCCAGGTCTATTCAGACGGTACTCAAAAATTTCTATGTGCCATCTGCTCTTTTAGACATTGGAGATAAAACATTGGGCGATATAGATAAGGTAACTACTTATATGGAGCTTACATTCTAGTGGGGAGAGAAAGAATGTTTAATGTTGAAAGGATAGCACAGTGATATGATTGGAAGTAACTGCAGGCTGCCTTAGGTTGAGTAGTCAGGAAAGGTCTCTCTGAGAGTAGACAATTGAACAAAGACCTGGATGATGAAAAGAGGCCAGCAATAAAAAAACATCTAGGGGAAGAGAATTCCAGGCAGAAGTAACAGCAAGGGCAAAGGCCCTGAGGCAGGAACAGGCTTAAGTTTTCATAGAATGAATACCAGTGAGATTGAAGCAGAGTGAGCCAGGAAAACAGTGAAGGGATGAGGTTACAGAGGGTCAGTACATGTCAGGTCATGCTGGGGCTTTGTAGAAATTCTGCTAGTAATCATCATCATCATCATCATCATCGTCGTCATCATCATAAAGCAGATAAGAAAAAAAAAGGAAATTGAACAGTTTAGGGTATACTGTATGATACCAACTGAGAAATTTGGATGTGACTCACTGGAGCACAGAGATGTTACTGTAAGGTTTGAATGATGTGTTGAAAGTAGAGCCTGAGGAGAACAATTCTGAGAGCAGAGTACAGGGTAGCCATTTTCATCTATCATTACATTTCTAGCACTTGACTTTTAAGTTCTCTGCTACAGCTCCTCCTTTCTCAGTGAATGCCAAATACACAAGTCCAAAGTGACATATGACACCATCAAATGAGATGATTAATCTACTCTAAATTTACTTAGTTAGGAGGAGTGTGGCAAAAGGTTAGATTCCCTGGCGCTACATTGCTTCTTGGTTTACATGGTTTACTAACTTCTCTCTCTCTCTCTCTCTCTCTCTCTCTCTCTCTCTCTCTCTCTAATAGGGAGAGAAGAAGTCCTATGGAAAGCCATGTGGTGGCCAAGACTGCAGTGGAGGCTGTAAATGCTTTCCTGAGAAAGGAGCCAGAGTAAGTTGCTTCTTCCATTGCTGAAAGACACATAGTCAAAGAAGTTGCGATCTGAAGCATGTGTGTTTTCTTTAGAATTCAACTGATTAGAATTTACTCTTGTGACTTCATGGTACAAGCAAATTGATGAGGACCAGCTGGAAGGAGCTTTGCTAACCAGATGAGAGGCAGAACTAGATTGGTCAAGGTCCCTGAGGGACCAGGAAGAGGTTTCCTTTGTTGACTTCATGTCAGTGTTTCCTCAAGGTTTCATCTGGAGTATTTCCAAAAGCCAATTAGGTTGTGAAGAACCAGAAAATGTCTGTATATACATGTAAATTTTCATGGCTCATTTTTAGCCACTTGGTTCTTCCCTCTGGGGAGCAAGCAGTCCATTTGTTATCTACAGATCAGGGGTGTGACTTGTCAAAAAGCAAGAGTTATCAGGGTACCTTTAAAGTTCGAAGATACAAGAGACTGCACATAAAGGAAGATTTATAGATATTATATTAAAATTTAGGATTTGTTTAAAAACGTTATGGGATATATTCAATATCTTGTTCCATCTTTGCAAGGCACAGCTCAAGTTGTGCAAAGTGCAATGAACAATGTGCATTGGCAGAGCATCTCCATCAACCCTTGTATATGTATATGGGAAACATTGGACCAGGTGATTTGTACCTCTGATTCTCACAGAATAAACCTACATCTTTAGTGTCACTCAGAAAAAAGTATTCAAGAGGGTTCAATCCTTGAAAAATAAAATATGATCTATGTTCCCAGGATTTATGGCCACTCTGTAGAATTCAGGTCTTCTGACTTTCAGCATTGCGTCTGCACTCTGATAATACTCAAACAAGCCTAAGCGCTTACACTGTCAAAGAGAGAGAGATAAATGAATCATAAATGAATCAACCAAACCCTCAAAAACATAGCCAAACAGAGAATGGAGTGGCCACTCCACCTCCTCTTTCTTTATCTTCCATTTGGGGTAAAGTGAAATATCAAACTATGCCAGAATTTGAAGGAAGAGAAAAAGCCATCTCCTCATCAAAAGGAACCAGACCCATTATACATTAAAGGCATAGACTTATAGAATCCTAAGATATCAGAAAGTATATTAGTGAGCTTCTCATCTTATCCACTGATTGTACAGAGAAAGCAGACTCTGAGAAGGAAAATGACTTCCCAGGGTCACACAGCAAATTGATGACAGATTCAGACTATTACCTGAGTCCTTTGATTTTATGTCAATTTACTTTTACCTACTGTTGCCTCCCAGAGAAGTCATGTTCACTGTAGCCACCAAGGCCCATGCCTTTGCCTCTGATATTCAACCAGGAAACACTTTAGAAAAAAAGATAGTGCTATCATAAATATATGAATACATTCTTAAACAGTATGCAAGCAATAGAGGTGAAGCAGAAGTCTCCTCTGAGACTCCAGTCCCTCTGTTGTCTTTCTAGTCTTTTCCTGTGTACAATACCCAGAGATATGTAGAAACATGAATAAAAATAGTTTCATTTTCTGGTCTTTCTTCCCCAAAATACAATCATAAGTATATATTCTGTGCCTTGTTTTGTTTGTTTTTTTTTAAATAGCCATTTAATATGTCCTTAAGATCTTTTTCTCTACCCCATAGTTTAATCTAGACATTCGTTTCCCTTTTGATGAACACTTAGGTTGTTTCCAAATGTTTGCTATTTTAAAAAATGGCAGTGCTACAGTGAAAATCCTTGAACTAACCTTCTTGGACTTATCTCTAGCATAGGTACTAAGGATCAAATTTCCAGATACAAGGTAATCAACATTTTTAATTTTCAAACCTATTGTTCAATTACCTCACAAAATATTCCAATTCACACTCCCATCAACATTGTACAGGAGTGCCCACGCTTCTACACCCTTGCCAACACTTGATATTGTTCCTAATATGGGTGAAAATCATCCCACTTCCCAGACTACATGTGAGTTTAGGTGTCTTTCCACATATTCATTCAACATGTATGTTTTTTTCTGTCAATTTCCTGGACATGTCCTCTATCCACTTTCATGAGTGATTCTTATTTACTTACCTTTCCTCTGCAGAGAAAAAAAAATGGCCCAAGCGGAAGCAGATGAGATTTGCAGTTTGACACAAAAAGTCATTTCCTGGCAGGTTGTAGGGGATATGGGTGGTGGGTTAGACCCCACAACCAGGGAACTGAGAATCAGCAGATCCAAGTTGCTGGTTGGGGTGCAGAGCCTTTATTTACTTTTTTTTAAAGCTAATAGTTTTTACTGTGTCTTAACATGTTTATAATCAAACAACTTCAAGATCCAATTTCTACAACAATGACCTTATTATATATTGGAGCAGAAGGTAGTCCCACACCAGGCAAACATGCAGAAGATGACCTCATCATTTAACCTCTGGCTGAGATTTTGATCTTTGAAGATGGAAGGCAGTGGGACCCTCTCATTTGGGTTCCAAACATCTGGAGCCCTAGGCCATCTTCTCCTTTGAAAACTTGAGTGGCTGAAGTGCTGTGGGACTGGGGGAAACAATATCGCCGCACTGATTTTTTTTCAATATTAAATAGATTCAGAGTTCACATGGTTAAATGTGGTCTAAAGTTTACCAGTGAAGTCTGCAGTTGCTGGGAATGTTTGTCCAGGTTATTGAAGCAGACCAAGCTCTGTTTCATGAGTCATGACCTGGGATGCCCTATTTCCCAGGCAGATCAGGAGGCCAGCATGCTGGGGCAGACCTGTGAATGAGGATGCTTGAGGCCGCCTGGGCCACCAGATCCATGTTAGTCCTTCTCCCTACCCTTCTGCGTTCCCAGGGCAAAGTGAGATTGTTTAAACTGGCCCCAGCACTGTTGACGCTGCAGGGCAGCCCCCGGTACCCCCTTTGTGCAGATGTCAGAAAGATTTGAGACTGTTTTCCTTAGCTGAGCAGCGGGCCCCATTTGGATTTCAAACTGTTCTCCCTCGAGCTCTGAGAGCTGGGAGGGGAATGGAACGTCGGGTCACCCCTGAGATATGCTGCAGCCCTTGGCAGGCCTGCCTCTTGCCTTGCGGAAAACATCAAGTACATAGTTTGCTGGGCAGTGTGTACTTTTTGTTTGCCAGAGGCCTCTTGAACTAAGACATTTACACAACACCTAACACTCCTGCACAACAGCAGTCCAACCCCTTGCTGGCTCCTGCATTCTCAAACTGCTTTCTTGAATGCCTGCCCTGCATGGTAAAAGCCTTTGCTTAGCCTTGGGGTACTGCTTTTGTATTTTTCAAAGCATCTTTTCACAGGGTCTGTATTATCTGTATGCCACAAGTAAAGACACTGCTAAGTGTCTTGGCCATGCTCACGAGCCTGTTATTGGCTAAACTTACTTAGCCTACTTTAGGAGAATGTCAACTTTGAAAGACAGCATACCTGCTAATGTTAAAGAAAGGGTTTCTTTTTTATTCCCCCCTGACATTGAATTATTGACATATTATTTGACTTTTAGTTTTCTCTCTTGGGGTGGGGTGGGGAGTAGTATGTTTTATTACCTGGGAAGACCATTCTCTTTTTTAAAAAATTTTATTTATTTATTAATGAGAGACACAGAGAGAGGCAGAGACACAGGCAGAGGGAGAAGCAGACTCCCTGCAAGGAGCCCAATGCGGGACTCGATTCTGGACCCTGGGATCACGGCCTGAGCCAAAGGCAGACGTTCAACCGCTGAGCCACCAAGGTGTCCTTGGGAGGACCATTCTTTAAAGTTTTTCCTCTCCCCCTATATTTTTTGAGGGGGAGGGGGCATTAGATTGAACAAAATATATCAGTTTTCCATCTCTGTCTCTTCTCATTTTTTCCCCTACTTGGATTTTCAAGTTGTCTCTGCATTGTACTGCATCAGTGTGTGTCTGTCTGAGTGGGGAGCAGGAGGGATTGTGTGTTTTGTTCAGAGCCTGCTATATTCCTTAATACTGTTTCAGACTTTTCCCCATTTTAAGAGTGTTCTGGCTGGTGTTTGTATATGGCATGGTGAGTTCCTCATTGTTCATGCCACCTAAAGGAGCATTATCACAGATAATCCCAAGCCATGGGGAATATTGGGATCCCTCCCCCCTACCCCCAGATCAGGGCTGTTTACCCATTTTACAGCTGTGTCCTAGCTAGAAAGTTTTATGTGAAACACCCCGGGTCTCTTATCTCCTCATCTGCTGCCTGCTTCCTGCCACTTTTCTGTCAAAAACTGTGTGTATACCATGAATTCCAGGCCCAGATGCATTAACCACGAATTTTGTTTTTTGGGGGTTTGGTTTGGTTTTTTGACTCTCCTCCTGCAAACAGCTGGTGCTCCCCGTGTCAGCTGACTGGAGCCAGAGCCACTAAGAGGCCTTCCCATTAGCTCCTGATTTGGGCAATTATTGTGTACATCTTTCCCTTCTCCCTGTGTGCCCACACCCCACGCCCCTACCCTGACCTGCCACTACCACACACATTAATGTCTTCATCCTCTCCTGCCCCCAAGTCAAAGCTCATGTTGCACATGAGCTCCTTGGGTGGCCGGGCCTTACTCCAGCTGCCTGTATACAAGCTGCTTGGCTCCATTGCCCACCCACTCCTCAGCCCTCTGCAGGCTAGCCTCACTGCAAACACTGGTCACCAGTAACCTGCTAATTGCCAAATCCAGTGGACATTTTTCATTCTTTATCGGCCTTTGCTTCTCTTCTACATCAGACACCTCCTTTCCTGAAACCCTCTGTTCCCTTGGATTTCATGATGTTCTTCCTACTCTGATTGGGATTCCCCAGGGTTTTGTCCTCATCCCACTTCCCTGCTCATTGGAGGCCTCTCCTAGTTTATATACCACCCACACAATGATAAATATATCTCTACCCTTAGCTCAGACCTTTCTCCTTAGCTTCAGGTCAGCAGTGTCAATTCCTCATTGGCTATCTCTGGTTGGACTTTTACTGGCACCATAACTCCATTTCATACAGAATTCCACCATCACTCCCCCCCTCCCACCAGACGTATCCCT